TCTGGATGGTGTCCTTCTTCATTTTTGGTGTTACAAGGAGTTTTGTTGGTCTGTCACTCAACTGCGACCCACACATAATAATCAAGGTCTGGTGGGTTACGTGGCAAGATGTAAGGGGTGATGTGGTTACAGAAATTGTCTGAAAGCCATGACTGCGTTCTCCTGCTTGTGTAGCATGGTGTAGAGTCCTGTTGACAGACATAGGATCTTCCAGCAGCCGCCTTCTTCACCCAGAGCAAAATTACCCCCTTAAGGCATTTGATTTAGGTCTCCATATTGATTCTGAGGCCCTCGCCAATAAATTCGGGAGTTCTTATCTTATCAAGACGATCACAATGAGTTTTCCGACCTGCCGTACCTTCGTAATCACCATTAGACTCATCCAACTATTTCCAAATCCTCTACACTGTCCTCAGATTGATACCCAAACACTCTGAAATGTTGGTATTAGAGCTCCCGGCGAGAATGCCAAACAGTACAGCATGCCGTTTCCAAATTTCTGGCGGAGTGAATTGCGTCATGGTGCTCTTTTTCTCACATATGATGCCCAGCTGACCCAACTATACTCTGCAGACGAAAAGAATCAAAAACAAAGAACGCGCATGCGTGTACTTAAAAATATAAATGGCGAAAATTTACCCATCGCACCCTGTATAGTATATTCATGGTATCCCCCAAAATGTACTCTCATTTTTTACTTTGTTGTCTGTTTGAATATTTACAAACGCGCATTTAATTTTATTTAATACTTAATTTAAACCATTAATCTTTGTAAGTCAATAAATTTTAATATTTTTTTAAAAATTTTAACCATTAATTTTAAGTTAATAAGTACTGCATCTACTGTCATTTATACTGAGTACAATTTGGTGGGGAGAGATTGTATATATATTTTATATTTTAATTGTACATATGAAGTTCTTAAGGTATAATTAAAAGCCAAATCCTTTGAATTTATCTGTATATGGCTGACAGAGTCGATAGCTTTTATGCTCCGAATTGCATATTCAATGTAGCAGATGAAAATAACTTTAGATTTATTTTAAAAAACATCATCCATTTTGTTTAGCGAGCGAAGTGAACAGTTCCGGTTTTTGATGTTTTTGACTGATTTTCAAATTAAGGAAGCATTTTAATTCTATTTGTAGTTAAGAGAAAGAATAAAACTTCCACATTTTTAATAAAAATTTGCAATTAGGTATACAAAATCTGTTCTTCAGAGTAGAATCCAAATTCTTAAAAATAGCTTAAATTTTTCATTTAATCCTGTAACATAAAAGAAAATGGATCCCCATTAGGACAAAAACAGATTCAGACGTATCTCGCATGTAAAATATTCCTAAAACGAAAATGGCGGCTTTTCGAGTTGTGTATTTAAAAAAAAAAAAATAGATAGATCTTGGAGTCAGACAGACGTTTGCGAGAATCTCTTTCAAACATATGCAAATTTGAACTGTCATTCAATCTATAAAAAGTGCTTGAAGTCCGACAGGGAGTAGTGTGTCTGCGGTATCGAACAAGAGACACTTGTTGTTAGATTGTGTGACTTTATTAGAGACCATAAAAAAAACTGACAGCAAAACCATTTAGCTTTCTTTTGAATGGTATTTTCAGTGCCAAAAGTGAATTTAGCACCGCCCCTCCCTCCAAAAAAAAAAAAAAAACAACAAAAAAAAAAAAAAAAAACATAGGAATAGAAATAGAATAGTATAGAAATTTTGAACATAACTTTCTGATAAATGCAAGGAAAAGCAAAAAAGCGGGTAATGGTCAGTTTAACATACGAAAGGAACCTGAAAAAAATTTTTTTTATTCGATCGTGCTAGCTCGGATATTCATAAGTCTATCACACCAACCATTACGGTCTTGTATCAAAGTCGGAAGGTCATTAGAGCGGCATCCTGTGTCACAACATAGCTGTAAGTAGTTGCTGGGTGGGTAATCCGTCTTGTTCCATGACAAGTCGTCCAGTCGTTCACTGGTTTTACTCGTCGGCAACGTCCTGAAAAGCGTATTTTGCGTTCGCGTAAGATTGTATAAGTATCAGGTATGTAACCATAGAGCTGGGATTTAGTTGGATTTAAATTGTTAGAGAACTTACACTAAAAAAGGAAAAAAAAACGTTATTCGAAATTGGGAGGGTCAGAGACAGAAAACTAAATTTGTGTTAATTCTACTGAATTTTGTGTAGTAGGGCGCCAAAGTCCACTTAATGTAGGTCATTTTTGAAAAAGCGTGTTACGATAAGCCTGTCCGTCACTTATAACATTAATTTCAACATAATTCCAGTGACTTTTCCAGCGAAAAAGAGGCAATAAAAGCAACTATCCACACTCACAGAACATATCGAAGGCACAAACGACAAAAGAAAACTGCGCATGACCTACATTACAATCTTGTGTAAATGAATGACACTACCAGGTTTAGGAGAGATCACACAAAAATAAACTTTACTAAGTTCGAGAAAGGACAAGAAATTGTAAATAGCAAGGATCACTAATGTCCTGGATGGACACGGCACATTGAAGAAGATTCAGAACCGTTAATCTAAAAACGACTGATGAACCCTGTTTGATTTTTGATTAACTTCAAACGATCATAGCTTCACAAATACTTGAGTTTATGACAAAATGAAACAAGTCCTGAAATCCTGATACTATATAATTGCAGAGTATAGCACATATCAGTTAGGAAATGCTCGAAAAACGTCCACAGTGTTGGGATCAACGATACACTTATAAAATCTGTCTTGTCGCCCTCGCCAAACGACATCTATTCCTAAAATGCCAATCTGAAAAAAGTTAGTCTTAAAACGCCTTTCAAATGGCGACGATGTTTTCTCTTCAAACTGCGTGACCTGGACTGGAATTTGGAGCAAGTTGTCCCTACTGAAACTCTGAATAAAACTAAATGTCTCTGACTAATTGAGGTAATTATAATTTCGTATGTGGACGATAAATTGCGAGTCTAAAACTGGATGCTATTTTACAAACCACGCTAGAAATAGTAAAAGATCATGTAATTTTCACTGATCAGATGTACAGAAACGAGCAAAATTGTTACATGATTAAAGACAGAAGGCAAGCAAAAGTTTATTCAAATACGTTTATAGTCGAATCATTTAATACCAATTGGTCGTAGAGGAGTATACACTATTGAATCAAGCCGAACAACATGAAACTGGAGATAATATGCGTGTATGTGTGCGATGTGATATACATGATTACTTATTCTAGTAGCAAATGTCATTTCCAAAATTTGAAATATTCCAGTTAGGCATGTATACAGAGATCTAAAAAAATGTTATGTCGCAAAGAATAATGCCAAAATCGCTATATTCGTTTACACGCGTTGGTCGAATTTCACGGAATTTTGAGAAGGACCTAATTTGAACCGTAGCATCTTAGAAATGATTAAAGATATCTTACAGGAATCCTCCGAGGTTTTTATAGCACTATTGGACTTTATTTTGAGCAATAAAAATGTATAATTACTCTCCAAGCTTAACAGATGAATCGTGATGAAATCGATCATAAATAAAAAGGATCGGAAGCTCATGAAGGATTAAAATTAAGTTCATATATATATATATATATATATATATATATATATATGTTATTCTAGGATCATGTTCCAACTTATTCAAGATGATCTTCGCCTTCTCTAACCTTCTATCTTTCTGTCCTGGAGTAACAAGTTGTCTCACACGTTTCACATACGATTTCATTTTCAAGCCTTCTTCACTGCTCTTTGGACTGTCATAGCTGAAATTCCTCTTCCACATACCAAACCTTGTATAGATTGAGTTGGATCTTTTCTAATTGATCTCTTTAGCACTAAGTTGAAATGATGAGCCCTCTTCCTGTTGTGACCTCCTGATACAGTTTTTCTCTCTATTCTTACCTCTTTTTAAAAATTATTCACCTTCTCTTGATGGTTCTCGAATGGACTTTGAGGATAGAGAATAAATGTATGCGCATGTCTAGAAGAGTATGAATGTTGATACCAGTTCTGAAGACCTGAATGATCTTTTTCCTCTCACCATTTCTCATTTGGGAAGAGAGTGGGGCTGATACAAAACAATTTCAATCTGTTCTCTTTCTAGCTGACTGACTAAAAGGGGTTTTCGGTGATTCTCATGACGAATGATATGAAGTTGGCTGAACATCTTATATGAAAATCTGAAAAAATAGATAATTATGCTGTTACCCGATTTGGCCAATTTTGCTGTTACACCCAGAATGTTATGCAATCCTCTGAAACTCAGAGTAGGGAGACAGATATAAAATAAGTGAACATATTTAATTTATTTCTTATGCTTTACCACTTAATATCGAGCACTATAATTACAAAGATGGCTTATATTAAATACTTTATCTTCCATACTTAAACTATACGACCCTTTTAGAGCGAAATACAACATTTTATATATATATATATATATATATATATATATATATATATATATATATATATATATATATATATAGTTTAAAATATGACAACACAAAATTACCATGTTTCAAAAAAAGAGATTAAAAACTTCAAATTTAATTATAGAATTAAATTAAAATCCCTAGTGCGAATTTTGGAATAACTTATTTTGAAATTTACTTTCATTTAGTTTCATAAGCATATACATTCTTAATATTATTTGCTAAGGATACGGGGAGATTCAATCATTTTGACAAGTGGTGGTAGGGTATTCATTTTCACTGACAACTATTGTATCAAAATATGAGTTACTTTCGAAATGAGGTTGAATTAAGGTAGGGTAGAGGTATCTGTTCAACAAAATGCTCTTCACAATTGTATTGAGCAGTGTTTTTTTAAATAAAAAAAAATTAATAAGAACATAAAGAAAATATAAATCTTACTGTTCTTTCTATTTATTTATAATATATATATATATATATATATATATATATATATATATATATATATATATATATATATATTAGGCTGTCTGTCATTGCTGACGACGACGTTGTCCATCCATCTCAGTCCGTCTTCTGCGGGCTGCCAATTGAGACAGCAGTCCGATCCGCGAAAGACAAGCTCTTGGGCACAGTTGGCAGGCTGCAGATGACGCTGATGTCGCCTCTCCTCGAGGATTCCTCGTCTCTCCTCCTCGAAGTGCGCCACTCCGGTGACGCAGAGAGACCGCCAGCCGACCCTATCCCCTTCAGGATTCTCCAATTGTGTTGGGTCAATATTGCAGGTGACAAGAACACGTTTAAGGTAGTCCCAAAACCGTTTCTTTGGCCCCCACGTGGGCGGCTGCCGGTCTCAAGCTCTCTGTAGAATGCAATTTTTAGGAGGCGACTGCCCGACATACTCACAGCATGCACAATCCAACGCAGAAGTTGCTGTCGTATGATGGCCTCGATGCTGACGACCTTCGGTGTGCGGGATTTAATGTAATGTAATGCGCAAGATTCGCTGAAAGCAGCGGATGTGGAATGTCTCAAGCAGTTTTATTTGTTGGCGATAAAGGGTCCAGCATTCAAAGCTGTAGAGCAGTGTTGAGACGACAACAGCTCGATAGACAGCGACTTTGGTGGTGAGTCGGAGGTTGTTATTAGAGAAGACCAGTCCGAAGGCCTTTTTCGATTTGTCCATTATCGGATATGACGCTGCCGGTGTAGATAACATGAGACAACGAACGAAACATTGTCAATGTGCAGCCGAGCTCCTGGATCACGTCATTTAAACACTGTTTCAATGACCACTGTTTTATTTGGGTTGATATCAAGACCAAGGCGAGAATAAGCCTGATGCAATGAAGTCAGGGACTGTTGTAGTGAGAGTGCCTCATGAGAAACTATAACAGCATCGTCGGCATATTGCAGTTCATAGACAGGAATGGTAAAAGCCAGAGTCTTAGCTTTGTGACGTCGGGCATTGAAGACACTTCCGTCAAAGCGATATCGGATACGTATTCCGTCGTTGGGTTCCATATGAGAGAGAGAAGAGTCACAGTGACCAGATAGATGTTAAAGATCACAGGAGCAAGAACGACCCTGACGGATCCTCGTGACATTGGCGTAGAAGACTCAGAAAATGTCGTATATATATATATATATATATATATATATATATATATATATATATATATATATATATATATATGGGGGGGTGTGTGTGTGTTCTGTGTGCATGGTGGACTCAACTCAGCCAGCGCATATGATTTGGTTATAGTAGTGAAGGTTTTGTGTAGAACCAACCACACTTTTTGAAGGGCCACAAGGTCACCAAACGACATTCCGCATGTTTTGAACTCAGAGTTGTCTTTCTCCTAGATCAGTTGCCATCCAAGGCTATAGAACCCATAGCTGGATGAAGAAGAAGAGGATTCATACCTTTCGCCCAGGGTATTACCACGTAACTCCGAGCCCTCAGTCCGCGCTGCTACCCACTACTTCACCGTGTCTCCTCTCTCTTTCTCTCTCTCTCTCTCTCTCTCTCTCTCTATATATATATATATATATATATATATGTTGAACTTCGATTTTTAGTTTTACAATAACTTTCATGTAGCGCCATTTTTTACAGCGGCTCTGTGTACATTTGCTGCACTTTGGTATTCGGAACGTCAATTTTCTATTTGCATTTGAACTTTAGCTGCTAACACAGCACATCACCTCTTTTGGAGTCTATAAATACGGCTTTGGTTGAATAGAGCAACGTAAAAGGAAAACAATCCCGGAGAAGATGAAAATTTGCGCCATAGGTTTTTGGTATATCTGCTCGCGTATTGGGTGTCATCAAGCAGATAGAATAGCAACTACAAATTATGACGGTGTCAACGGAATTGTTGTCCAAATCTACGTCTTTGCAAGATGGTCGTGCTCTTCTCGCTACTGTCTGGCTGCATCCTTATGTACTTTTTGAAGCAGTTGTAGAGTTATTTACTAAATTTAGCTTAGTTTGGCACAAGGTCATAAACAGAGACTAACTAATGAAAATCGCTCTCAGAATGCAATCTTCTAGACGTGCGCATACATTTATTTTTATTGATAATATACTTTTTTTTTTCTTTTTAACGGTACATCAACATCTGTGGGCCTTCTTAGTGTCGAATCCTTTACTTAGTATACTTGTGACGTGTAATACAGTTTGTAGTTAAATTCTTTAGAGATGCATTTTTCGTTAGATAAAGATTTTTTTATTATTATTCGGAGAGTTTGCAACTTTATACAAAAGCCTCAGCTGTTTTATAAAATTAAGGATGTTTTTTCGGGTTGGTTTATCTGAAAAGCTAATTCAGGTCTCTTATATTTCTACAGAATTTTTACCGGATATGGTTGAAGTCAATACAATCTATAAGTATGTGCTTGATGGCATATGGTACTTTGAACGCTGTAACATACTAGAGGTTCATCGTTTTTAAGGAGACTAAAACGGGTGAAGTGAATGTGACCAATGTGATGTCTGTATAAGACTACCTCTTCTCTCCTCGATAATATACACTTACATAAGTTATTTTAGTGGATACCCGTATTTGCCTCGAGTAAAATTTTTGAATACACAGGCCGTTAGACAAAATAAATACTGTTTGAAATAACCGCTGCGTCTACTCAAATACAGTTATCCACTAAGTATAACGTTTGAATAATAAAAATGTGCCAAATTAAGAAAAAAGATCCATTCATTATATATATATATATATATATATATATATATATATATAGTCATCCACAAACAGACTGTTTGACTGTATCACAGCTCATCAGTGTGTCTACACATCTGATCGCTTCAAGTCAGGACCGAAACCCGCCCAATTTGGCGTCAGTCGGAGGTTCTAATATTAATAAAACGTAGGTATATGTATATTTATATTTACTAATATATATCTTTGCTCTGTCTAACCACATCGAGCACTGTTATGTTTACACCTCATGAACAAATTTGATTATTTATTTGCTTGCCCGTGTATGAGCATATATATATATATATATATATATATATGTTTGTGTGTGTGTGTGTAATATGTCCTAATACTTCGTGTTAAAATACAGTTTTTCACTTAATAGTTTATATTAATTTTCGTCAGATTTTGCAACCATATCCGGGCTCGAAAAGGTTAAAAAATTCTACAGTTTCGCTGTATATTGAGATGCTTTGCTAATTTTTCTACATTTAACATAATTTGGCACAAGGCTTAAAGTAAGGAGCACCCGCTGGGTATCAAACACCGTTCAGGAGTAAAGATCTGCCTAGCTGGCTTGTTAGCCACTATTCGACAGAAAGGTGCCCTTCTTCTCAATAGCGAAGGCGTTTTATGCTTGTTACTTTGTTCATACCTCCTAATTGTTAGATATCTTAGTGTTATTTTTGGTAAGTGCCTGTGGCTCCACCCGCTTTTTCTTTCTTTCTTTCTTTCTTTCTTTTTTTTTTTTTTTTTTTGCCTGCTCTGAAGAATACTACGCGTACAATAGCACAAGGAATTGAGCTACTCCTGTGCAGGCCACGGAAATTTAAACCAGGCCATGACGTCGACGATCAGGTGATCATACCGGGCATTCGTTTGACGCGCGCTT